TCGTAAATTTGAATGATCGCTGAACAAATGGTTGTTAACCAAGGACTACCTGTATTGTTCTTAAATGGATGGATCTAAATTATTTCCTTATTCTACATTACTGATATCCTCTCAGTACAAAATGGTTAGGTAAAGCAAGATTTAGAACCAAGTTCAATCCTTCTAAATTTTCAGACAAAGTTGAATCAATCTTGACAGAAACATTTTGCAGCATATGGAACCTGGTTTTATTACTATAGGTAATTATTCAACAAAACTTCCTCTTTACAAACCTTTTCTGGTAGCTGAGATTCAACCTCTTTCTTCAACCTTCTTAACAAGAAAGGTCGTAGAACTTTATGGAGACGCCGAATAATCAGAATAGTTTCCTCTTCATTTAAATCCACCTAGATGAAAAGAATGAAAAGAGAAAAAGAAAAGAAAAACACTTTAAAAATAACACTTAAATATTACATTATTTTTCAGTGCTAACAAATTTATACTCTTTAAGTCTTGTTATATATTGATACAATTTAGTAGATTAAGACTGTATTAATTAGAAAACTCACTGTATGAATATACTATATCTGATGCTATAAAACAGATTGTCCATTTAACGTAACTGGGGTTATTATAGCATTTTTAAGTAAATAGCCCAGTACCCTTTCTCCAGTCATGGCAAAAGGAGCATTGAACCACTGTTCAAAAGTGCTGCAACTCTTGAAAATTGTTGGGAGGAGGAAATTAAGGAGAGCCCAAAGTTCAGGTAATTTGTTCTGCAACGGAGTTCCAGTCAAGAGAATCCTTCTTGGTGCTACATAATGAGTATTTAGCACCTGAGTCAGCTTACAATGATGGTTCTTCATTCGGTGACCTTCATCTACAATCATGTATTTCCACCGAATCTATGGAAATACAAAAATAATTGGTAGGAAACTATTCATATTGAGGTTCTAAACAATTAGTTTTTTAAAAAAGAAAATCATTAAGATTAAATACAACTAAAGCCTGCAAATTTATCCTTAATTTCAAAACACTGCAATAATTTGCATAT